GAAAACCACAGAAAGTCCAGTTGCCTCTTTGGGGTAGGGTGGGGGAAGCATCTTTAGTATTGCCTTGCTAGGCAATGGAAATTCTGGTCCAGACTGGAATCATAAATCAAGGACTACCTGTATGTAGATTTTAAAGGATACAGATCTTAAAAGAGATGGCAGGGATTACAGGTCTGGAAGAAATTAAAATAACTCTTACCATTTTTGAATTTAGAGATGAAACTTTGGAATTGTATTAGGAACTGGCAACCTTATCTAGGGTTAAAATGTCTCCCCCTAAAAACGAAAGGCATATGAGCAATATTCTGTCACACGAAGCAGTGGACAACAGCTTTTAAACCCTGTTGAATTCCAGCCAAAATGTATCAGATTTTAATTTTCAAAGGCCCTAGTCAACATTGTTAAGCAGCTGGAGGGATTATATGAATCGAAGTACATCTGGAGGGAAAAGTTTGGAAAAAAAAACCTGGCATGCAAAATAAAATGAAGCAGCAACAAATGTAAAACAGGTGTAAAACGTTGTGTTTATTTTTTTTACAAGTACAAACAATCTACATTTTTGTGTCCAAACTTTACGTAGGTTATGTTTGCAACATTTTCTGACCAGGGAATCAAAGTGCAAAATTTGGAGGTGTGCAAAAATGAAAATATGTCTGCAGGCCAGTCTATATATTATCTTAGGAAGTGAAAATTGGGTCAGTTTATGTTAAAATGAGAACTGATTGAATTTTGCATTCCAACTCTGTGGGTGCCTTCAGGATAGCAGTAACACTGAATGAAACAAGATGATTAAAAGGCAGATTCTTCAAATACCCTGAAACCACTGATATTTTTAAAACTTCTCTTATGCTTTTTCTATGAACTCTAATTAGCTGACTTGCTTGGGTTTGTTTCTGGAAGAAAGGAAAGAAGAAAAGGAAAGGGAAAGAGAGAGAGAGAGAAAAGCAGGTGCCAAGCCTTGAGCTGATAGCCAAAGGACATTCAGTAAATGTCCTTACTCTTTCAGTAAAAGGCCCATCACAGTTTAATGAGGTAAAGGGTTAGAAATTTATTACTGTTGGTTTCTGTCATGATAAGGTAGCTTTTGTTCTGCCAGAACACTTTAAAAAGAGACCATTTTCTCTTCAGCTACCCCAAACCACAAATGTGTGCTGCTTTTTACAATGTTGTCATCAGGAATCCTGGTTACAAGAGCCCCTTTCTTTTCTTGAGATCACCCACATGTAGCCTGCTGGATTCAAGATCCCTCTGGTCTCCAGGAAAAGAAGAAGAAGAGAAAAAAAGATAATAGCTGCCCCACCCAATTCAGTGAAGATGATCTAATACTGGAAGAATTGGCAACTTAAATGTTGCTATAGAAACCCTGACCAAGTGGTTACAGAATCTTAATTTGTAGATAAAAGAGGAAAGCTAGACTGGTCTGTAAGGACCAGTTGAGCAACACTAGTGACATTTTGGAAGGACCCTAATTGTTCAGCTGTGGATTTTGGAACATTATGTAGAACTTTTTCTCTATTCAAAAGATTATACATGGAAAAGCAAGCCTAAGCTAAGGCAAGAAAGGAAAATCTTGCATCTGTAATTATACATGAGGAATTATTGCATGGGAATAAACAACTTACAGTATCAATGCTCCTGTTCATGCCCTTTGACATTGACATGATTGATATAGGGAGGAAGTAGGTGACTTAGTGCAAGGGTCCCCCAACCCCCCAGGCTGCATGTTCAGAACTGGGTTGCATCAGTGTCTGGCCAGCACACATGTGCAGCTGGATTTGCATGCCTACAGCTCAACTTACACAACCGGCAGACTGGCTCCCTTCTCCCTCCTCATTGGGCCACCAAGCTGTAAAGGTTGGGGACTGCTGACTTAGACATAGTCCTTGACTTAAACCATTCCTTTAGCAACTGTTTGAAGTTACATGCACTTTAAAAAAAAGACAAATTCTAGCACACATGGCTTTCATAGCCTGGTTCCTATGACCAGAACTTGGACATATATTTATGACAGTTGCAGTGTGTTGGGGATTATGTGATTGTCATTTGCAATCTTCCCAGGGGTGGGGCTTCCAACGAAGTCAATGAGGAAAGGTGGATTCACTTAACAGCTCTGTGATTCACTTAACAACTGCAGTTGTTGACCAATTGTGTCATTAGTCAAAGAATACCATTTTTGCTATATTGTATTATTGTCCATACAATAATGTCCAGTTAGAAAGTCTGATAAAAGTCTAGACAACATTGAAATTTAAAAACCTTAGCACAAGTAATTGGAAAGAGATCCCAAACCAAAGAAAGATGAACATCATATTAGGTATTCTTCCTAGAAGCTGTTAAAAGTTTTAAACTATAGTTTGATTAACGGCTTACATATTGCGAACTAAAACCACTTAATTCAGTAGGATGTGTCTGTGTGTGTGTGTTTTGCACACACACACACACACACACACACACATACACAAACATATTTATTCCAGCTTGTCTTAATAGCTGGATAATTTACTAGTTTCAAGGAGAAATGTTGAAAGATGTATTGTTATGATTGTCATATAAGCCATGGAGCTTTTTGGATTTGAATTCCAAACGCTACTTTGAAATGCACTATGGAGCTCCTCTCTCTTAATTCCTTACTTCTGTAGAAAAGATATAAATCTGAAAAAATAAATAAAACTCTCACAATTGTTAGGCAGCAATTCCAAAAGCAGACACAGGAAGACCCTGGACATTGACCAGTTTCATGGGATCAACGACGAAAGGGGAAATTT